TCACGTGCGAGTCAACGGTCGGTCGTGCACTAGCCTAACGTCTCTCAGCACGGACATGCGTGCTCGGCCACCACTTCGCGTGGCTACACCCGGCCAGGGCCGGCTTTGGTTCGAGGTCTTGAGAAGAACTTCACCAAATCAAAAGTAAACATTTCCAAGTTAATTGGGAGGAACAAGGGTTTTCCAAAAAATTTCGAACGACAACAACTTGGGGCTTAATAAAAAAAAAGATTTCTTCCATCATGCAGGTATAGAACAGCTTTAATAGTTAGAAAACTTTCAAATTTTTAAACAGGCGTAAACCGAGTTCCAAGTTCACCACCTTCCCTGATCAACACAATCTCCATCGAACAAACAATGATAGAGGTCGGGTAAAACTACCCAAAGAAACGAGGATCGATTCCTCAGCCGGGAATAATCTCAAACATAACGTTCACTACCGAATAATGAAACGCTTAGCTCATTCGACTCTTCCGACAAACAGTGTCGGTCGTCACGTCAGCTCTTGCTCAAGTAGCTAACTGTGCCGGCAGTCCTAATTGAGCTTCAACGATTTCGAATATCAAAAGCGAAGACGGCCATGTACTTCACTATGTGACTGCACCAGGCACGGCTACCTTCCTTAAAAAGATTCTCAAAATCTTTTAAAGTGGAACAACACTTCTCGACTCCCCAACTTCATATTGAATAAGAAGCATCACAAAACAAGATTTGTCAACTTACGAGGATAGATAAGAATCATCAAAGAATTAAAATGTTTAACTCCATCTGAAATCTCATCCCATGCAAAGGAAGAGAAGGCAAACAAAATTCCAAAGTACTGAAATTAAGCAGAATGAAGGAGTCTCAAACATAATTCAAAATTGTCTGCCACGCGAAAGAAAAATAAATGGAAGTCTGCAAAGTTTCCGAGAAAGCAACAACTTAGGAAAAGAAAGCAAGACTGATGTGGCTACACGAGTCCATGATTAACTTCCTCCTCAGTCGATTCAAGTCATCCCCAGTTAGTCCTGCTATCGATAATGGTCCTGGTCTGAATACACTAAGCATCACTTTTTAGCGAAAGAACTGCCAAAGCCTGAGCTTAATACGACATAATACTAATATATATATATATGCCACAATTCTAGAGTTCGCCAAGAAATACTAGAGTTCAAGCCAATCGAAGGTGGATAGATTTTTCCTAAGCCCCAAGATATAGCACATAATTAAATAAACAATCATTCCATAAATAATATCAGCATTACTTATGACTTACATACCTCAAGCGGTGCGGCATGACGAAGACGAGTGGTCAATGCGTATACTCATATATTCATAAATTTACATAAATCACATTGACCCGTCTACAGAAATGCAGACTGGCTCTGATACCAAACTGTAACGCCCCAATTTTATTTTACGAAAATCAAAGGCTTTTCAAAAGTCAACTTAAAATTTTCAAAAAAAAGAAATTCATAAATCAGTGGCGCTACTCGAACTAAATCACATAAATAACGTAAATCATACTTGCATAAATCATAAATCGTAAATCCAATGTTTTCATAAATCCCAAGTTCATCCAACTTATTCATAAGGGAACATCTCCCAATTCAAAGTTCTCAAAAATTCCAAAGTCATAAATAAGCATAAATAAATCCAGGTCTACTAGCATGCGGAATAAACTAAATGAAGTCAGTCAAAGACCAACACCACTCGTCTTTTGTCTCGTCAGCCGGCACCTACTTAACCTGCATCAATGAAGAGCAGGTGGGAGTGAGCACGATGAACTGTTGTGCTCACCACTATGCACGTAAATAACAACATAATATAGCAAGGGTATGGTCACAGCATGATCATAAATTAACTCATCATGTCACATCTCCAATCAATACACCAATAACCTCACTCATGTGTACACACCTATCATTAGACTACCGCTGGCATGTTCGAGGGCACGCCATGTGACTTAGCTCGTCAACCAGACAGTAGGAGTACATGTCGAAAGCACGCTGTAACACCCCAAACTCATGTCATTCATTTTATGCTTAGTATTATTTTCATGGATATTATTTATGTTTAATTTAATGATTTACAATGTTATTTTTATTTTTATTTTTATTTAAGCTCGATTTTTATGTGATGATTAAGTGAGTGTCCACACTTATTTAATTATCAAGTTGTTGATATCATTTTCAGTAAGCCAAATTAAGTGAAGTTAATCCGCCGATTGGGGTCAGTATAAGGATAATCAAAGATTCGTGCAAGCACGTGACACTTCCACCGACTTCAAGATGACCGCACGATGAAAGATTCAACAAGAACCGACATCTCCATTATTTTACCGATATCACATGTCGGCCAACACATGTCGGTCAACACATGTCGGGTACGACATACCGGTTATAACTGGATGAACCGATGTCTATAACATGCCACTTCAACATTGTAAGGCGGCGACAACTCAGCATAAGTCATCATTACATTTGTCCAAGTGGCGAGTTATCAAGAAAAGCAGCTAAGAGCCGCCTTTGACCTTTCAAAATGTAATGATTACCGTACAGATAAATGTTGTACTTAAATATAAAAGGAGAAAAATGAATCTCCAGACAGGAACACTTACAATAATACGATTTTACCCAAAAATTCCATCTCCTTTTACATTATGCAAGTTCTTACCGTTGAATAATAAGTTGAACTCTAAATTCACTACAATTAGACCGTTGTTAATTCTCGTTTGACAACAGTTTGGCGCTAGAGGAAGGGCCCCCGCTTATGTTTTGAAGTTAACTTTCGCCTATAAGTCGTTTTCGTGCTCAAACTCATTATGTCACAGTCTGGTCGAGATCATGTACCTCACCCTGGTCAGAGCCAATCGACTAACTACTCTCCACGGCGTACAACACCGCCCCTTCCGGTCACAAATGTCATGAACTTTCTCCAAAATCCGGAGTTTATTCAAGGTTTGTCTTCATGAATAGCTCGAGCCATGCCTAGAAACTCGGGTACGATGCCGTTGTCGATGCCGTTAACTACTAACCCAACAGAACATCCAACTCATACTCGTCATGACCATGAAACACATGTGGCGACGTCACATGCCACGTCGCAGCCTCATCATACTTCCCCACGTCAAGAAGAGCAGGCTCATGTAATTGCTAATCCTGTAACGAACAACCAAGTCCCAGATCAACCCCCTGTGCAGGAGATGACTGCTGAGAGTCATTCTACTCACCACCAGAGAGTTTCCCCACGTCCTAGACCCATCTCGTCAGCACCTCACGCTCGCGAAGATTTACGACGCCAAATTCAACGTAATCGTCTTTCAAGGCACAGTGCGGAGGAAATTGAAACTCTCCGTAAATGTTTGGCTGAACTTGAAACGCGACAGAAGTCACAAGAAGATTCACCCCGACATGTCACGACGTCGGGGAACGTTATTGTCGAGGCGGATTCTCCTTTAGCCCCCGAACTTACTACGGAGCCACTCCCTGTGAAAGTGAAAATCCCGCAAATCGGCATGTATGATGGGACGTCGGATCCAGATGCACATTTAGGCCATTATACCTCTTGGATGGATTTACATGGAGCTTCAGATGCTTTGAGGTGTCGGATGTTTTCGCTTACACTGGGGCCACGAGCCCAAAAATGGTATTATACTCTGCCACCTCATTCGATTTGGAAATGGCAGCAGTTACGTGCAACTTTCCGGTCACACTTTATCGGTGCTCAAATTTGTCTCATTCCGAAAGAGTCGATCACCAACATCGTGCAAAAAGACGACGAGACTGTTAAAGATTACGTGGCTCGGTTCAACGACCGAATTCAGAACATGGAACCCTGTCATCCTGAAACTTTGTTAGTAACTGCTATTGCCGGACTGAAGCCCAATTCAATGTTTCGTTGGTCCTTATGTCAAAATAAGCCTGCTACATTTCAAGAGTTCCTTGTACGAGCTCAACAGTTCATTATTGCCGAAGAATCCATGTCGGTCCCCAGTTTCGACTTCTCGGTAAAAGAAAGCAAGGTTGAACCAGATACTAAAAAGAAAAACAAGGAGAACTTTGGGAAAGCACAATTTCAGAATTCCTCTTAAGGATATGAAAATACTCCAGAGTCTCGGGCTGCTCGTGATCAATATTCGGACAATGTCAGGACAGGTTATCATGCCGTTTATTCCGCTGGAGCAGCCACCATATACGAGGAATTGAAAGGAAAGGGAATTATCCCAGACCCGAGGCCTGTGAGAACTCCTGAAGACAAGTTGGATAAAACTCGATACTGCGCATACCATAAATCTCCAGGACATAATACCGATGAGTGTCTTGGTCTTTTGTCGGCACTCTTACGTTTAATCGGACAACCTCAGCTTCAAAAGTTCCGAAATTTTGATAACCGCCGGAAAGGGAGGCCCTTGGATCTTTCAGACGACGAAGATGAAGACAACCGACCTGCTAACCAGAAGAGAGCTCGTGCAAACGATAAGGAAGTTTTTACGTTTTCCACTCATGTCGGAACTTCGACCGACAACCACAGGAAACATAAGATACATGATCCCGTAGATTTTTCACATTGCATACCTCGAGTCAACTCCAATAATAAATAGTTAGATATGTCTCGATGGAAAGTCAAAGCTTATGCTCGGGAGGCTCAGAATGCCGAGAAATGAGTCATGAATGTTGATCTCCGAGATACCATCAACAAACGAAATTGCCCTATTACATTCAGTATTGAAGACGCTAACTTGTTCATTCATCCTCATTCTGATGCTCTTATTATAACCGCCCCGATTGGGGGAATTCCTGTTCATCGGATCTTGGTCGACACAGGAGCGTATTCAAGTATTTTAATGCTCCGTACTTTCAAAAAATTGGGTTTGGACCCAGCAGACATTAGACCGTGTAACGATCAGATTCAAGGTTTCAATGGAAGCATTTCTTGCCCCGTTGGCGAAATATTGCTCCCCATCCGATTTGGAGGCTTTGGACCGAAGTCCAAGATCATTATGGAAACTTTCAAAGTCTTGGATGTCCAAAATGAATATAATGCTGTAATAGGACGAACTGCACTTTATAAACTCCGTGCTGCTGTGTCAATTTTTCATTATGCCCTGAAGTTCCCCACCATTGAAGGAGAAGGCACTCATTACGGAGATCAACGAGAAGCCCGATGTCTGATGCTGCTCTCAACCTCGCCTAATTTTCATATGATTGAAGAACAAGATGTTAATAACTTTGTTGAGCCGAGTAATTCAATTCCTCGTGTTGAAGAAACTGATCAGTTCACCCCGGATACCGACATGCCTCAAGCAGATATCAACTTGCCGCTTGTCGATATCGACGTCCCTATGACGTCGGTCTTGCCTGAAACATTAACTGGAATCCTCGATCAAGAACAATCTTTTCATGAAAAAGGCATAGAAATGCATGAGGATATGGACCCAAGGATGCAGTTCAAAGATGGAAGTCATCATGTCCGAGCAGAACCTGTTGAAGATATCGAGATCATTTACGTAGACGAGTCAGATCAGCGGAAATCACTACGTATTGGGGCCAATTTACAAGAACCCATTCGGTCAGATTTGATTCAATTCCTCCAGTCAAACACTGATGTGTTCGCTTGGAAACATGAAGACATGAAAGGAATCGACCCACAGAAAGCCTGCCATCGTCTTAATTTGGACAAGACTGTTAAACCGGTTATTCAGAAACGTCGGAAATTCGGCCCAGATCGCCAGAAGGCCCTTGAAGAAGAAGTAAACAAGCTCATAGATAATAAATTTGTTAAAGAAGCCAAGTACCCGACGTGGATATCGAATCCTGTTTTGGTTAAGAAAGCCACCGGCCTTTGGCGTCTCTGTATAGATTTTTCAGACTTGAATCAAGCGTGCCCGAAAGATAGCTACCCCATTCCACACATTGATTACATGGTAGACGCTACGTCGGGACACCAACTTATGAGTTTTCTGGATGCCTATTCAGGCTATAATCAGATTCCCATGCACCCTGACGACGCTGAGCATACTTCATTTTATTCAGCTCGGGGCCTTTATTGCTACGTTATGATGACTTTTGGATTGAAGAATGCAGGGGCCACATATCAGAGATTGGTCAATAAGATGTTTGCTCATTTAATTGGCCATACAATGGAAGTTTATGTAGACGACATGTTAGTAAAGTCGGAACAGGCCTCTGACCATATTGTTCATCTCTCCGAAGTCTTCGATATACTCCGAGAATATTCTATGGTGCTTAATACCAAGAAGTGTACTTTCGGAGTTGGATCAGGAAAGTTTCTAGGATACATGGTGAGTCAAAGAGGGATCGAAGCCAATCCCGCCAAAATTCAAGCCATACTTGACCTAGCTCCTCCGACATCTCTCAAAGGTGTCCAAGCTTTAACTGGTCGACTGGCAGCCCTTAATCGGTTCATCTCAAAATCTACAGATCATTGCAAACCGTTCTTTGACGCTATCAAAAAGAAGAAACCATTTGAATGGACCACGGAATGCCAGAATGCTTTTGACAACATTAAAGAAGTCCTATTACAATTACCGACGTTACAGAAGCCACTTCCTGATGAACCTCTCTATTTGTACCTTGGTGTAAGTGACGTTGCTATTAGTGTTGTTCTTATACGACATGATGGACTTCAACAGTTTCCGGTATATTATGTTAGCAAGGCTTTACATGACGCTGAATTGCGATATCTACATATGGAGAAGTTGGCCTATGCTCTGGTCATTGCTGCACGGAAGCTGCGCCCATATTTTTTGGAACATTCAATTGTTGTGTTTACGACATACCCTCTCCGACAAGTCCTTCACCGACCTGACACGTCGGGAAGAATGATTAAATGGGCAATAGAATTGGGGCAATTTGATATCCAGTATCGGCCGCGAACCGCTATCAAAGCCCAAGTACTATCTGATTTCATTGCTCAATTTACTCCCACTGTTGGCTTATCCATTGAAGATCCGACATGGACTCTCTACATTGACGGATCGTCCATCGCTATACGAGCTGGAGGAGGGATCGTTTTGGTTAGTCCTGATCAACAAGTGTTTTGTTATTCTGTGGCATTTACTTTCTCGGCCACCAACAATGAAGCCGAGTACGAGGCCCTCTTATCAGGTTTACACTTTGCCGAATCCATGAATGTTTCCTCTCTCCGGATATTTTCCGACTCTCAGTTGCTGGTCAGTCATATAATGGTACTTACGAAGTCAAGGAACCACGGTTGTTACCTTATTTTGATCTTGCCAAAAAGAAGCTGGCACGGTTTAAAATGATGTTGGAGCTGTTGGGTTCTGTTAGGAACGTCAAACAACATGCACAGTATTGAACTTTATC